GTATTCTGGTTATCAGTCCCTTGTCTGATGCATGGTTTACAAAATTATTTTCTCATTGTGAGGGCTGTCGATTCACACTAATTATTGTGTCTTTGGTCATGCAGAAACTTCTTAATCTGATGTAATCCCATTTATTGATTGTAATCCCACTTGTCTGTTTTGGAGATTATTATCTGTGCTTTGGGGGTCTTATTTAAGGAGTTTTTGCCTACCCCAATGTCTCCCAGAGTTTTCCCAGTGTTTTTCAGCAGCAGTTTTATAGTTTGAGGTCTTAGGTTTAGATATTTGATCCACTTTGAGTTGATTTTTGTCAATGGTGAGGTGTAGGGGTTCAGATTCATTTTTCTACAGGTGGATATCCAATTTTTCCAGCACCATTTGCTAAAGAAGTTTTCCTTTACCCAGTGGAGTGACTCCTTGTGGAGGTCTTTAACTTCTTTGGTTAGATTTATCCCTAAGTATCTTATACTTTTTGTGGCTATGGTAAGTGGAATTTCTTTTTTCAGTTCTAACTCAGTTTGCCTGCTGTTCGTATATAAAAATGCTATAGATTTCTGTATGTTGATTTTGTATCCTGTAACTTTACTGTATTCATGCATTACTTCCAGGAATTTTTTTAATGGATACCATTGGGTCTTCTATGTATGCAGTCATGTCATCTGCAAATAGGGATAGTTTCACCTCTTATTTTCCTATTTGAATGGCTTTTATTTTATTCTCTTTTCTGAATGAATTGGTGAGGACTTACAGTACTATATTGAAAAGGAGTGGAGAAAGCGGGCATCCTTGCCTTGTACCTGTTTTTAGTGGGAATGTTTCAGCTTTTCTTCTTTCAGGATGATGTGAGGTATGGGTCTTTTTGTTTGTTTGTTTGATTGGTTGGGTTTTTTTTTTTTTTTTGAGAGGTTTTTGCTATAGGGCGCGTGTGCTCGCCAGACAGACAGAGAGAGACAGAGAGACAGAAAGCAAGAAATCACCCCCCAGGGGGGATGGCCACGCCGCAATCCGTTCTCCTC